TGATGCCATACTTTGGTTTGGCCGCACCTAGCTTACTCCTATATCAGGGAACATCGCCCGTTGAGGTGGGTAAATCATGCCCCAACTACCTCAGTTGGTGAAGATTTCTTACCTTTTCAGTTGGTTTGTCATCATTATTACCTAGTACTTTACTCCTAACCCAAGGATTGCTTACTCAGTTGTTCCAAAATACAAGCAGTGCTTCGTAGACACCTGTGATCGAATACCAGTAACCTACGAACATCCTCTATTTTTAATGACCATGTTTCACATCCATAAAGTAGAATGAAGCGAAGTGCTTTGCAGTAGACTCGCCCTTTGGTTTAAAGACGGATACCTCGCCTACGCCACAAGTTGCCAAAAGCCAATCGAGCCTTCGCGCCGAGGTTTCGTCAGACATCAGAACTGACGAGATTCCAAAGATATATGAGGCGGTCGAGGCGTTCAACTACTTTCAAGTGCATTATGGTCTAAATTGGTCACCGAAGTACATATATACATAAAGAGAATAATACTAAGCTACCTGTTGTCCAGACACGGTGACCTAGAAGTCATCGTCAGTCATGACTTAAAAACCACTACCGTGCGACAGCCGCCCAAGGTTTTGGAATCCTACGGCCTATACGTAGAGCCTGCAGCCATGTCGATGCTAAAACTTTGGCTCTGTATACAGTATTCGTCCGTCCTGAGCTCAATTATTACATACAAGTGGCTAGCTCATGCCCAAACAGATACAATAAGCTGTCTAAAAAATTTCAAAGAACCGCGTCTAAGCTGATTCCCGGAATGGCAAATCTCCCGTGTGACGATGGACTGGCTAAACTAAATCTATTTCCCTTGTCATATACAAGAACCAGAGGTGACTTTGTGGTGAACAAGAACACCAGTGGGGACGATCGAATGTGTTTGACAGTACTTGTTAATAAAACCTAACAATCACATATAAAATGTTCAATTTGCAAAATGTCCATCAGTTGTCTCAAAATGACTCAGACTTCCATGTTCTTACATTTTCATACAAATTGCAGTCTGTCCTCATTCTTTACTGTTCGATCTTCTTGTCTCTCTGCTGCCAGACATTCTGTTCACGAATAACATCATATACTACTTATGTCTACATAAGTAACACACACCACAACTTGACCAGTCATTTTTGTCTTCAAAAACAGAGAATTTGCGAGGACACTGAAAAAGTTCATTAGCCTATAACAAATCACTTGTCAGGTGACTTACGAATTTTCCTTCGAATCATCAAAAAATGGAACTCGCTACCTCAACTCGTGGTTGAAGCTCCATCTGTCAAGGCTTTCAAAAGAAAGTGAGACCACCGTTGTCAGAACTAACATAGGCTGCCTAGTGTCCTGTCTTTTTTCAAATTGAAACTAAATGAGATAGATGGATATTAGTTCGTTAAGACTATTATTTATCTACAACCTTTCAGCCAAGGTAAAGTGACCCTGAAAAAAATGCACTTACTAAGTTCAAAAGAGGCCTATAAGTTAATATGAGGAATCAAAACTTAGAGTTGAAAGCTAATATTGGGTGTAAAAGTTAGGGTTTACATCATGAACTGAAATCAGCTATAATGCAAAAATGCTATTTAACCATGTGGATGAGTGAATTTTGCGCCAAAATAGATTGGTTCCTCCATAAATTGTGGTCTCACCTGTTCGTAATCTTAGGTCCCAGTAAATTCCTTAAGCTTATCGATCGCACGTCTTAGCTTTTTAAAGCATATTTTATTTAGAAGACGTTAAGGCAATTGGTTGCACACAGCTCAGTAAGTCCAGATAAACGCGAAAAACAGTATTTCTCTCCGAAGTGTTTCACAATATATTTTTACAAAATTGACTTATTTACCTTTGTCACATAAATATGTATCACCCAGTTTTGTGTATAGTTTTCAGTGTAAACATAGAATGCACTCGGATTCACCATACCTTCTAACCGTCAACGGTCACCTCTAAAATTTATTGGGATTTTTTCTGTGCTTATTGTTAGCACTGAACTTATCAATAACCTACAGCAGATTACAGGCTGTTTACAATTTATGTTACCAGTGATATTGAAACATGTTAATGTTTCTTTCGTTATTGCTTTAGCATGTGGATCTAAAAAGCTGTCTTTAAGTTTCGCAATTTCAAAAATTATTTTCTGACATTGCAAGGCACTAGCCATTGGGATGTAGAAAGGCAAAATGGGTTAACCCATTAAGCTGATTTCACCATTCAATAATGAGTAGTGCAGCAGTATCTAGTTGAAATCAATATTCTGCGACGAAAAAAAGCGATTAGGATTTAAGACGTTCTGCTGACCAACCTAAATCCTCGGCATCTAAAACATTCAGTTCCGGAATAAGCCATCCAATTTTAACGTACATAATTAATCACAATAAATTTCATTAGAAATGCAAAGTAGCACAGCGTTAAAGTAGGTGCCAACAGATATATGTTTCCAGTCTTGTGTGTCATAGAGCTAATAGTTAAATAACAATTTCAACGAAAACTCTTTCTAAGTGTCATCCAATAATACAAGTTCAAAAGATTAATTTACAATAAGTAGGTTGTCTTCTATTTGTTATTCAACCAGAAGTTAATTGTATATGGTTTGAGACAGGAAGTGATTTAGTCGGAGACGTTAGTGCTGAAATTATTTAGATTGTTGAACGAAGATTCAGTACCAACTATCAAGGTCGATAGCATTTGGAACGACTTCGAGGGTGAGGGTGTACTAAACTAACATGGAAGTCCTGAAACTGCTAACATTCTTACTCAACTTTGTACAGTAAAATTAAACACCTATCATATCAAAGAACTAACTTTGACGACACTCTTGATCGTCAGCAATATGCGAATCATATCAAAGAAATCTCACTAAGATACTATCCTACACTAATGTTATAACTAAATATTTTGGAGTTATACAGGTTAGTGTTTTTGTAGTAATCGCAAAATTGGAGAAGCAATATTGGGTGGATATAGGGTGTTAGAAAATTTTATGCATTGAGTTTGCATATTGTTGTATTATTAGTATCTTCATTTTCCTCAGTGCTTTGTTTAGTTGAAAAATCTTTTATAAACGTGAGTTTAATCTAAATACGTCACACAGTTTATCATAACTTGAACTTGTAACAAAAAACGATAGCTTTCATGCCAACAGTCATTAGTTTATTTATACAACTTATAAGAATTGAATTTAAGTCTAGTTTAATTTTGTGTTTACCTAGGTTTGTTCTTCAAATGAACTCACTACGAAACGTTAATGGAATGTGTAATTCATTTGGATCCGTTAGGATCTTTTTTCCAGCTGCAACAAAAAACATTATGGGGCTCATTAATGTCCAATCTCGATTCTATAAAATGCACGACCATTTAGTTCGGAGATGCTCAGATTGTTATTTTGACCGACGTGAAGGCAGGCTTTATGTTGAATGCAAAACACATCCACGTCATAAACAAGCTCAAAAAATGAGACCACCGAAAGTTCCATGGTTATTTAAACGTCCAATATGGAAAACTGTGTGTTGGTAAAGTAGACATTTACTATACACAATGAGCTGTAAACATTTATTATGACAAAAAATTTTCGTATTAAGTAAGCCTTTAGTGATCATAAAATTCTGCAACATGTAAATTATTATCGGTCATATTGCTCATGATTTCTTTAAATAAAATTATCAGTACAATTAAATATTGAAAGTTAATCGGAAACAACAAAACTTATCCATCACTAGAATTATTTATCGGTTATTTACGTCAGTGGTTCAATGACCTTAATTTGCTCCATTTTTTTGGCTTGACGAGATACAGAAGTGGTCCATTACTTTAAGCTTACTGCTTTACGATTCCTTTTTATGTTTTGTGTATACTTTTACTATTCAGCAATACTTAACGTGTTATATTGTGGTGTAAGCACGCCAAATGAACAAACAAAATTAATATTGTTGGAATTCTTAAAAGGAATTACGGTAACGACACGAAGTATTCATCAAATAAAAAGGGATGCTACTTTGTCTGTATTAGAATGTATTAAGAATACTACAATGAATGAGATTTGCATTAATCTTTATAATTAGACTATGACTCATCTTGTTGAATAAATGTTCAACATAAATAGATGGGCTACACTTTTATTACGTCGTTTTCACTCAGGATTTCATTGTTAGCATGCCTTTTAAAAATGAGTCAAGTTACAGTGACTTGCTAGTCTCCTAAATATTATGTTAGTGAAGGGTGCTTTAGCACCATTACATTGGATAAGCACAGGTTTTTATAGTTTATGTTATAGTGAGCTAATCAAAAGTAACCAAATGAGGTCTTCTTGCCCAAGTGGTCAATTGGGGGGGGGGTTAGCGTGTAAAACTTTGTGTATCAATAACAGATCTCAGACAGTGCCTATCATATTGGTTTACATCATTGACTCATCTTAGGCAATCACTGAAGAACAAAAAACCCTGGGCAGCGTTTTCGTTCTAGTACAAGACTCCTCAGTAGTTCGTACCCACGACCTCACCAAGGATCCAACTACAGTTTATTGATCCCCCTCATAATCATGTTTCTATTTATGTGCCATGATTTCTCCATTATATAGATTCTATCTGCAATGCTTCTTTATATACTGAACTAAAGTAAATAAATGTGTAGTATTACATAATACAAGCCATGGTATTGAAAATCTAAGAAATTACCAGAATGCAAATACTGATGTTATCAAGGCTTGAGCTCGGTATTTCGAACGAATGTATCTTATAACCGTTTATATTCACTAAACAGTGTATCATATTAGAACAGAACCACTATATTATTTGTACAGCCGAATAAAAATGAACTTTCGTTAGATGGAGATGAGTTGTACTTGCACGCATTGCTTCGTCAGTTTTAGGCCAACAGTGCTTGAGCGCAACGAATTCTATGATTGTTCATTAAGTCATAAAGACTAAAGGTGACTTTAATATCAATAATTATTTACACTTTCATTTATGTACAAAACGAAAACTAATTTCACAGAGTTCGCAGAAAATTGTCGTAATCCTCTTCTGTAGTAAATCCGTATTTTTGACAAAACTCATCGTCGTCTTGTAAAACTATAGAACTGAGAGGTGTATATAGGGGTCTACAAAAGAATAATAACAATTTAATTAGTTTCGCATAATAAAGATTCATTGGATTCATGCGAAAACTTGTAGTCAAAACTCTGCATTTAAGGGTTATGGGTCAAATTTACGCAACCTATGGTATTAACAGTAGTTACTAATATGACGTCTAAGCTTTTATGTAAATTCACTTATTCAATCTGACATCAGCTAACATAAAAAATCTATAACGTGAACAACCAAACAGAATAAAAATCTTCATGGAAACAAATCGCGCTAGAGGTAAAATGACGCTAATAATAATCAAGTACAATAGTGGACAGCGTAAATAACAAAAGAAACTGCTGAAGCGATATGTTTTATTCTTACTATTTGCATGATCATTAAAGGTTTTCCCAATTAGATAGCCGTTTCTCTCTATGGGCTCGAAAGTATCCATGATTAGAGCAGTTAGTTGAAAAAGTTCATGTAAACATTGCCACCAAAACAGAAACCTTATAAATACTCGTAGGATCTCTGTATTCAAATCGAATTGTGTTCCCAAGCTTTATGAAGGGAATTGTAATCAAGATGTCTCATTACAAAAAGTATTGAGGCAGCTATACATGGAGCCTATATGACAACATAAACTTACTTATTGAGTCACCTCTTAGAAGAAAAACTAATTGGTAATTACAGGTTATAACAACGATTATTCTATCTCTATCCTGCTTTGAGCTAGATAACTAGTCTTTCAGTACTAATAAATGTGTAATTTCCTGTGAGACCACCACATATTCGATTTCAGATCTGTCACTTTAGCTAACATCAAACATGAAACCACAAAATACCTAAATTGAAAACAGAACACTATACACTGTGATGCAGCGAAAACGTAATCAGCTGTAAAAGTGAAACGTCGTGTATTTAAGATTGCAGTGGAATTCTACACAACCATTAGTTTTTTGTCTACACAACTAAAATATAGCTGAATCTTCTCTAAATTATGTTAATATTCCTAGCAAGGTAGGGGTGATACTGCAAAGGTCTCATTACGATCCCTACTAGTTGCTCGAAAAGATTTTTATCCAAATACTAGTTCACGTTTTCTAACGCACAAGTGACTTAATTTATGGTGATGGAAGAGTAGGTGATGTCCTCCACTGGGTTTTTCAGATTAAAACCGTCAATTATTGAATGTTCAGCTTTCTATAGCAGTGATTTTCCAATACCCCAAAAGTACATGACATCTATATCAAACTACTCTTCGATAAATTGGTTTGAAATTTATCTTTGCGCTGTATTAATTGGCATTCTTATGCAACAAAACTTTGAATTTTAATGAGAAAGTTTAAGGTTTATGCTATTCTTACAAAATATTCAACTCACTTGGTTGGATCTGGCTGAAACAACTTTCGACGCACGAGAAATGTGCATCGTTGATGTAGTAAGTGCGGTGCTGCAGATAAAGCTTCTGGCCATATCCGTATGAGATCAACTGGAAGATTAAGATGCCAGTGCATAATTTTGAAGTTGTCTGACAGATGTTGACGTTCTATGTGAAATTGATGGTAAAAATAATATTGCATATTTATTAACTATGATTAAAAGTTTATTTTTAATATTACCTAATGCTGATAAAATGCATAGCAGCATGTAGTGCCTAAAGAAAGTAAACATAATGTCAAAGCATCATCGCGTCGCCGCTAATTTCCACCTATAAATGTTCATTGTAATTTCAACTACGACTCGAGTTTGTTAATATGATTAACAATCCAACGAAGTCGCACAATTGCAACCATTCATTATCTTCTACATTTTCAGATTAGCGTTATTTCGTGTTTCAACCTTCGGTTTACTTTGTTTCGCTTGGACTATACTTAGAGCTTTTAGATTTATATTGGAGCTAAATTTTTCTTCATCCCCTTTTGCTTTTATTAACTTTTCGCTTCGCTACGTTGAGAGGTGTAGCAACTTGTATGAATACATATCGGTAGCATGTCCTGGGCCGTCTCTGATTGATTAGTTGTTCCATGGGAAATTTTTTAATGAGGTAAACATAAATGATTTAGCATTTGTAACCACGATAGTGCAAATGTATTGTCTACTTGAAAGAAATTGAGCCTTTATTCAATACATGTAAATCGTCAGCATTTTTTCACAATAATTATTTTGACCTACTTATTAAGCCAAACCGAGACTTAAAGGATGAAGTGGTAAAACGTCGGTAAAAATTACCTGTTATCAATAACTTCGGGCTAGTAAGAATTAATTCATGTATAACTGACTGTGAAAATCCCATCATTTTTGACAGAACAACAAAAACATCCTGAAAAAAAATAATGGAAAACGTAATTTTTAAATATAAAGCTTACGACTAATCTAGACAACGTAGTGTACAAACAGTAAATAACTTTCAGTAATGAATTTGAAAATTCCATAAATTGCAACTAATAATTGGTTAAATGGCTTGAAAGGATTAGAGGAAGTTGAGCCAGCACAATTTTGATGTATATGTAAGATAAACACCGTCCAACTATAATTGATTTGTCGGAGGGTTATTTAAAGTGTCAGCTTGCAAGCGGAGTCGCTTGTCAGCGTTTAAGTATTCAGGTCTCAACCAACAGGCCGCACATTCGATTCAACTAGCCTTTATCTGCCTTAACACAACAACTGTAGCTTGAAGTCGGTTGGGTGCAATTGTACTTAATGATGTGCCACACAATCCTAATTTTATGAATAACTTATCCATCAAAAACTTCCTAACTTTAGAAATGGCTCGATATATCAAAGACTATGTTTATTTTGGTTTGAAAGGCTTCAATTATTATTTAAATAATTACAGCCAGTTACAAATGTGAGGTGTTCCAAGGTTAAGGTTTTCAAAGGAATCTAACACAACATTAACGACTGCTAGACTGTAAAAAACCTTATTCCTATCTTGGTATTAGGGTTCAGAACACACCTTGTTGCTAAAAACATTCTCTATTACATGAGGAGACTAACGTTTAAAACTTACCTTAATTTTTGGTAATGGGTGTATAATGATTTTAGGCTCCGTCGTGATTACCTTGACAATCTCTGAATCTAAAGCAATTTAGAGGAAATAATACGTAGTTAAATTACTTTTTAACTGTATGAGTGACTTGATTTGACCAAGATTTTTATCTATTTCGATGGGCGGTTTTTCGAGTATATTAGGAATTTGACATATCACTGTTACAACATCTGTAGGCGAAACTTTCCTGTCTGTAAAATAAGTTAATCGTGCACTGATTTCGCACAGTGGTAACTAAAACGTATGAACTTAAAATAAGTCGTACTTTAAGTAATTTTGGGAACGCCGTAATAATCCGAGCAATTTGTTTAGGTTGAAATCCAAAGTCTGAAAGTTGCCATAGTATAGGTTCAATATCATTATGAAAATCAAGCTTCATCAACATATTTGCAACACCTGGAACAGCTTCAACTCTGGATAAATTAACACCTAGTTTCACTAGTTGTGACAGGGTAAAACAACTACAGATTTGTATTATTTAGATATTTATATACCTTGGGATGTAGGCGGCAAGATTAGCAGAAGATAGCGGCACATGAACCAGCTCGTCCAACTCTAACTCTTTAAACCATTGCGATAATATATCTATGCTCTCTTTTGGTGTTTGGCTAGGGTTTAAGTAGGCTTTTATTTGTTTTTGTGGCAATTTATCGTTACACGGCAAAGATTGGGTGGATTTTCGGGTTTCTAGAACTTTACGAAGCAAATTATTGGACGTTCGAAGTGGAGTCTTTAAAGTATCACAATTGGTGTGACGAAGCGTTAACTCACGTAATGGTTTCTCAAAATTTTTCTCCTGATTACACTTAGGAAACTGACGAGTTTTACGTACGCTAAAAGCCTTAGTATCTGGTAGACCTTCGGTTAAATTATTTGTGCTTTCCAGAGTGCGTGTTTCAGAAGACGGTGGTAATTTCAAACTTTTTTGGCTCAGGGTGTTTAAGAGCGATTTCGTATACACCTCATCCACAGACAAGCTGTATTTACGGAATACGTGGACAATTGTGTCCTGAAGGTGTGCACCGTGAGAGGTAACCCTGAACATTTCAAACTACTTCCCTCAACTGCTGGTAAAAGAGCACTCGAAAAATGCCTCAGAATCCAATTTCGCAGGCTCAGGTCTCTTGCCAGCCAAACTGAAAACAAAGGAAAAGCATTCTTTATTGGAAAACTGAGAGGTGATAATTGTTAGAAATATTACCACACAACTGTAGCAATTACTCCTGTGATTGTTTTGTATCATAATGTTTGCCAACTGAAGATAATAACCACGATACATTTACTTTTTAATATTGTATATGAAAGTGTTTTTTATTATGAAACGGGAGAGCGCAACCAAAAGTACACAACTTAACAATTATGTAAAATATACTTTGCTATAGCAAAGTTCATACATTTCTTTCAATCCACGCGATGGTATGATCTAACAAGATTTCTTATCGGAATTCTGACGAGTAGATAAAATTTCAAAAGCCCACAGAAGAGTATGTAAAACGAGGACATAATTTGGAATAAAAGTAGACTCAAGATTCACCTCTTCGATTAGTGCAGCGACAACGTACATATTTTACGATAGAGTGGATTAGGAACTATACATCCATATTTTAAAGATATAACTTTTATGAATAGCACAAGACAGGCCATAAAAGACTGTACAAGTCCATGTCTTGCCAGAAGGTACTTTGTGTACTAGAGTAGGATGCAGGGTAACATACGTAAACAGACTATAAATTAAGGACGAACAGACAAGACAAAGGATAAAGATTCTTGAGTTTGAGTGGAATTCATTCATCAATAAGGCTTAATACCATTTCGTCACCATAGCTGATGTCATTTCGTGATAAAAATAACCGGTGATACTGTAAGTTTTGGACGACATTTGAGCGAGGCTACAGTGACCCTGAGGATGTCCACCTACTAACTAGGACAAGATTATCGTAATAAAGCAGCGTGAAGGATTTAAATTGTGATTAATAGTTGATTGTTAGGAACTAGATCTAGGGTTTGCATCACGAACTATTAACAGGTAAAATGCTAAGACGCCATTAAACCGAATGGTTGAATAAATCTCGCGCGAAAATCCAAGATCTGGCATCCTTTGTTTGATTGGTTCGTCCATAATTTATGGTCTCAACAAATTTCTATCTTTAACGTCCAATTGTGAATCCAGAACATAATTCCTCATACCAATTTTTAACACTCGTAAGTAGGCGGACATTTTGAAGGCCACTGCTTCAATGTCGTCCAGTAGATGACCAACATTGGTCGTAGCTGCAGCTACGACCAATGTATTGTTTGTGCACAAACAATACATTTATATTTGACAAAGAGACTAATCGACAAATGCCAGAAATAACACAAGCTTAAGTATAAGGCAGTCACGGAACCGAAACTAAGATGAGATGGTACACTAGCCACATAGACACCATCTGGGATTGAGCTGGACTTTCTTTGGGCCCAATGTGACCTTCAACTTAGAAACGCGCGTTCGCTTTCAAAACGTACGAACAAATTATAAACTCACGAGGAATTTTAAACTAGTTCAGTACACAGAATATGGTATAAAACTGACACAAAAAGTATAGAACGCCACAGTAGCAAAATCAGAAGAAAGCTGGGCAAGTGTTTTGTGGGGAAGAATCAAACTGTTAAGAAAATCATAGGTAATTTGATGGAGTTTTGTTCTCTGAGATGGATGGTTTGGTCGTGGAGCTTTCATCGTTCTTCTGAACGACATCATCAGCACAAACTTCAGATAGAAGTGAAGTGTTCGAATTTCTCCATATGCGTTTCACAGCTTGTTCTGTGCACCTCAACGTAGATTGGTTCTTATTGACCTTAAATTTGTCATTGTTTACTTTTTTGTCTTGGTTTTGTCTCTTATTGGTTTGATTCTTGTTCCTATATTTGTGCATAAGTTTCTTGATTGGTTGATAAATCGGATCGATTTCAATATGTTTGTTGATTGCTGATTGCCCTGAGTGCCAGGCTTCTAAAAATTCTCTTGTGTATTTAGAATTTCCTCGGTCCACGATTTACACATTTTTCTAATCGAATGTGTGTCCGCAGTTGTTCACGTGTATTGATATAAGTGAGGAGATATCATGCCGTTTGACTGCTAATTGATGTTCATGTAGGCCCAGGTGAAGGGGGCGTCCTCTTTGTTCGATGTAGTGTTTGTCGCAGTTGACACAATTTATTTTGTAGATGATGTTCGACTTATCTTCTTTTGTTATTTCATCCTTTGGTTTGCATAGGATTGACTGTAGTGATTTTGTCGGTTTGTGTGCCACACCTATCCCGAAGGTTTTTAGCAGTCTTGTTGCGGTTTCTGATACGCCATCTATATATGGTAGGGTGATCCGTTTGTTGATTTCTGTGCTTGATTTGTGCTCTGATGCTGCATGTGGTCGGTATTTTTTGATGAAGTTGATTGGGTAGCCATTCTTTTGACATACTTCCTTCAGGTATTTCTCTTCCTTTCTTCGTGCTGCCAGTGTGCTGCAGTGTGACCTCGCCCCTTGAACAAAGTTTGTACGCAGTTGATTTTATGTGCTCTTGGGTTGTTGCTATTGTAGTTCAGAATTTGATCTGTGTGGGTCGGTTTCCTATATACTTGAGTTTCTAGTTTTCCTGTGTCCGTGCTAGTGATTAATATATCCAAGAATGGTAGTTTGTTGTTTGCTTCCTGTTCCATTGTGAACTTTATATCATCAAAGACATTATTGATCAGTTTGTAAGTGTTTTCTAGCTCATTCTTTTTGACAATAACGAATGTGTCGTCTACATAGCGAATCCAAGTTTTTGGCTTGATCATTGGTAATATCGCGGCTTCTAGTCTTTGCATCACTGCTTCTGCGATCAGTCCTGATATTGGTGACCTCATTGGTGTCCCTTTCGTTTATTCGTAGATTTTGTTGTTGAATTGACAATATGTTGTTAGGCAAAAGTCGATGAGTTCTAGTAGACTTTTACTTCGAACCTTTGTGTACTTTGTGAGATTTGTGTCTTTGGCGAGGAGCAGGGATATAGTTTCTTTTTCTAATCTTGGTTTGATTGAGGTGAATAATGCTGTTACATCGAAGGACATCATTAGTTCGTCGTTGTTGATTTGAATGTCCTTAATTTGGTCCAGAAATTGTGTAGGGGATTTGATGGAGTGGTTGGATGAATCGACTAAATGTTTCTGTATTCATGAAATTTCTTTTGATAAATTGTATGTTGGCGTTCCAGGTAGTGCTACAATTGGACGTAGTGGAATGTTTGGTTTGTGAATTTTTGGTCTGCCGTAGAATTAAGGGAGTACTGGTTCATTGGATTTCATTCTCCATTGATCTTGTTTTGTTATTTCTCCTGCTTTGACTAGCTTGTTTATTGTCTTTGAGATTCTGTTGTCCAATTTTTTGACAGGATTTATATCTATCCGTTTGTATGTGTTCTTATCTTCAAGTAGTTGTTTGAGGTATTCCACCTTGTCCATAACTAGTGTTGTGCGCCCTTCGTCCGCTGGGAAGGTGACAATATCCTTTCTAGTTCTAAGTTCCTTCAAGGCTTTTTGTTCTTGTGGGGTCAGTCGGTTGTTTCCCTTCACCTGTTGCGTTAGCGGTACTATGGTTTGCCCTATTTCTTGTTGTGTTTCCATCCAAATCATGCACCTGAGCTACAAACCTTCTTCAACATTTCAAATCATAGGTATTTATAGACACTGTCGTTCGCTTTAACAATTCAGCCAATCCGCAAGGATGAGAGTTATGCTATTGTAGAATTCCACGTTTACATTCTAGGAAACTATATCACGTTCTGACTGTATGAAAACCCTTCAACTCATAGAAGTCTCCTGAAGCAGCGTAGTTTTTATCAGAAGCCGTGGCAACATTTATGTAGCTCTGTTCTACATGCAAAACGAAAGACGGATATTACAAATGTGCAGTCATGAAATTCGAAATCATTCAATATTTTCGATTAAAATATCCTGTTTATTCATTGGGCGAAATCAAATTCAGGCAAAAATCAAAAACTGCAAAATTAAACAGACATTTGTCACATATAGCATCCCGTTTTTAAACCTCCAAAGTCCATAACATTAAAGGTTTGTAACGACTTTTGGTTCCATACTTTGTTGTACAGTGTAGAATTCCATTAATCTAGGTACCATTCACTTTGAGTTTGTCAGCCTACTGAATAATAGTCTTGTTATCAATCTTGAGCCCAAAAAGGTGTATTTAACAGAGTTCTATGATGAAATCCGCTTAATTCTATCGCGGATTTGATAGCGCAGCTTTGATTTTCCGGCTGAAACTACACAAAACAAACATCACACCACGTACAATTGTGTCACTCCTCCGAGACCCAACATACAGTTTATCAACAGATATTTCTTCCTTTATTTGAACTTACTATTCCTTAGATGGAGATACTGGCCAGAAAGCATTCATGGTGAGGGCGATGACTTCAATCCACCCATGTTTGTGGGACAGAATATTTTGTATGTATCAGTCTGTTTATGACTGGGAATAAGTCAATTAATCTGTGATATTGAGGTTGTTCTCTTACACTCACCATTCAGATTCATGTTTCCAATTTTATGTTGGGTCAGCTATTCTACTAGGACAATCTAGAAAATGCTAACTCGGACTTTTACACTGGGACTATGTGGCAGGCATCGGATGAAAAAAAATTGGACAATATAAGACATAGTCATTAGTCTTATTAACACTTTACTCTCTATATGCACTTTCTGTTCTAATAGACAGCTTTTGTTATTCCAATTCTGACTTTCCTTCCTTCAACTTGGTAAATGTCACAACTCATTTTTCTTCATCACTGCATTCTCTCACCTGAACCTTTCGTGCCTTATGGTAACCCTCGCGTTATTAATAGAAGAAAGCAGACTCGTAAGGAAATAGGTCTTTATTTTTATCTTCGCGCAGTCACAGTGGAGCGTGGGGTTCTTTACTCAGACAAACAAAACCTCTCAACAAGCAATATAAGATAGATAGAAATATAACGCCTAAACAAAATAAAGAAGTGAATAAATATCTGAACTATGCTGTTTTGATA